TATCGACTAGTAAAGTAAGCTAATGCACAGCGACAAGGCAATGGGCGAACGGACCAAACATATAACAAACATGTTAAAGTGGAATAGGAGGGAACGTTTTGCTAGGCAGTAACCACATCGAGAAGCAAACCGGCGCTTCAGAAGGCGAGAACGCGACGAACTTGGTACAGCAGTTTACTTATTACGTTTAACATTACGGAACTACGAGCAACTATAAACGTGTTCTCGCAAGCGGGTGCATATCAGCACTCATGCGAGAGTTTAATATTCTGCACGACCGTGCAGGCGCGAGGTGTTGTTAGAATCGCACAGGGTAAGAATTCGTTTGATGCGTGTTCGGCGCGCGTCAAGCGATGGCGAATTTCGCCGCCGAATCCCATCGCACCGAAGATTCGCACTCTATCAACATCTATACTATAAAAGCACAGCGCATTTTTTGTTAGGGCTATGTTCTCTAATCTGGTCGGGGCATGATTTCTTGGTTGCTTGACCTTGTAAAGGAGGATGTTCATTACTATCTGGCGTAGTAGTAATGATTGATGGGGCAACTTTTTCACACGATGAAAACACGAGTAATAAGTTGAAGTTCAACGCCGTTTTAACTTGGGTAGACACGTGTGATAGGGCGCGTATGAGTCATGTTAGTTCCGGTTTTTATCGAGTTTTCGTGTTTTAGGCGCGTCACTGAACTTCGCCGTGCGCCACTATCATATAACCAATGTAGTACGGCGGCCGCGTTTTGGCTTCCGCTTGGGGTCGCTTGTCTTAGTGGCTGCGAGGTGGTATTGGCTTACGGCTTGCCTAATACAGTTAGGTTTGTCTGGCAGTGTCGAGCTCGGAGACATTGGGGCGCGAAATTATAAAAAATATAGTATTTCAAGCGGCAAGGCTGTGCGCAAACTTTTCTGTCAATTCGTGGCCTAGGAATAATATGATATTTTGAAAGTACATTATGGACATTTAAAATTTGTAATATCTAATAAAAGGAGAAACAGCGAATTTTTATGTTGAGGTTCATAGTGTTTATATTTTACATCGCCCCATGTTTTGGCAATTCCGTGGGGATACCTTTCTTGGTCCCAAATCCACTAATGTTAGGCTTCTCTCCCGCCCCTTCCACACATTCCTTTCTCTCTCGCTGGTGAGCCTCGGATCAGCACGAGCTTATGGTAGTATGTTATTAATTTTGTGTCAGTTTTGCGAGCTGCAGCGGCAGCCAGCGTTTGCACTTGAGCGTTTTGCAGCGTTGGCAGATGACATTGCACCGAACTTTGACGGCAATAATAGATGCAAAAGACAGTATAGAAACAATAACACTTTGGTAGTCAAATAGATATTGATTTATTTTAAGGCATTGTATTTTATTGAAACGCTGCCAAGTGCCTGTGTCTTCACACAATGTGCTCACCACAGTCTTCCGCGTTCGTTAAAGTTTCACGCCGAAAACTATTTGCGAGGGTTTTGTCGCATAACAAAGAGCACGAGGGT